CACACACACACACACTCACACACACACACACACACACACACACACACACACACACACGCACACACACACACACACACACACACACACACACACACACACACACACACACACACACACACACACACACACGCCCACACGCACACACACGCGCACACGCACGCACACACACGCACACGCACGCACGCACGCACGCACACACACACACACACACACCCTAAGCATGAAGACCGGGAAGTCGACCTAAGGAATGTGCCTTGGACTTCTGGGCACAGAGCTTAGAGGCCAACTCGGGGCAGGCGCGCGTGCTGAGGGCGCGTGGTTTACGGTTTCGTGTGGGGGGTACATGGGTTGTTGGGAGTCTGTTGCCTGTTCCCGGAAGCGCCCAAAAAAACTTAAATGCCTAACCCCTAAACCCTACGCCCAAAGAATGGCCCTGCCCCCCACCCTCCCCCACCCCCCGAACGTGCGCCTGTCATTGCAGTGTTGATGCGGGCTCTATGGCAAAGCTGTCGAGGTTCGCATGCTGCGGACCGTGCGTCTCATACGTGCCCTGCGCGGAATGAGGCCTCGGATCTCCTTCTGCACCTCAGAGTAAGGCAATGCGTTGGTAAACTTCGCCCCCCCCCAAAGAAGAGCTAAAACAAACTGAACCCTAAAGGGGTAGAAGTTGGGGTTCAGGAATCAAGGTGTAAGTGCCATTTTCTCTGAGAGTTTTATGAGCTGCGGCCCTCCCCAATCTAGATCCGCAAAGATTCGGAACTCCTTAAAAATAGTAGGAGGTGCCCCTGCTTTCGGAGTACCCCTGATTTCGGAAGCCCCCATCATCAGGCTTCTTTGAGAGGCCCTCAAATACTCCAGTGTTTCCCGGCTGTCCTCAGATGTTGAAAGTGTGACGGCGTCCACGAGGCAGGCTAAACTGGTGGGGCAGAGCCACGCCTTCAGGTTCACTGGGTCATCACTCTGCGTTTTTATGGATACTAAAACCCAACCAGGAATAACAATTGCTCAATGGTCATGTTTAGGACTATCCCAAGTATGGTTCGGTTAAGGGTTGAGTTGAGGGTTCATGCCGGACATCTGCGACCTGTTCTCTGCTCCTTCTCCACATCGTTTTGGCATCAGATGAGTTGCCCGGTAGATGGATGCTGGTGGCGATGGGGAATCGGTTTGCCTTTGAAGCCTTTTGTAGAAAACCCCAGGGAAAGCAAAAGTGGGAATCCCACATTGAACCGCAAGCCCTAGAGGCCCTGGGACCCTAAACCCGAAGCCCTAAACCATAAACCCTAAACCCTAAACCCTAAACCCTAAAACGCCTTGGGCAGGTTAGTCCGGCTTTTCCGCTATGTGGTGGCTCTGCGAACGCTGCTGCTGTCCATCATCGCCACAACCGGCTACCCGGGCCAGCTTGGATTAGGGTTTAGGGCTGTAGGGGTTTCGGGGTTGAGGGGGTAGGGGTTTTGGGGTTTAGGAATTTCAGGTTTAGGGGTCCCGGATTTCAGGGGTTATGGTTTCAGGGTTTTAGGGGTTTAGGGTTTTAGGGGTTTAGGGTTTTAGGGGTTTAGGGGTTTAGAGGTTTAGCGGTTTTGGGGTTTTGGGTTTTTGGGGTTTAGGGGCATCTAGGAGTTTAGGGCTTAGGGACTAGGGTTTTTTGAGGCGCTCTTAGCCCTGGCCCTGAACCTCTAAACCTCTAAACCTCTAAACCTCTAAACCTCTCAACCTCTCAACCTCTCAACCTCTAAACCTCTAAACCTCTCAACTTCTCAACCTCTAAACCTCTCAACCTCTCAACCCCTAAACCTCTAAACCTCTAAACCTGTAAACCTTCAAACCTTCAAACCTCTCAACCTCTCAACCTCTCAACCTCTCAACCTCTCAACCTCTCAACCTCTCAACCTCTCAACCTCTCAACCTCTCAACCTCTCAACCTCTCAACTCTCTAAACCTCTAAACCTCTAAACCTCTAAACCTCTAAACCTCTAAACCTCTAAACCTCTAAACCTCTAAACCTCTAAACCTCTAAACCTCTAAACCTCTAAACCTCTAAACCTCTAAACCTCTAAACCTCTAAACCTCTAAACCTCTAAACCCTAAACCCTAAACCCAGAACCCTATACCCTACGCCCTAAACCCTGAACAAGACAATTCAGGCTCCCTCTTTTGGACTCTCCTGCTTCTGGTGACGATGTGTTACTCCTTCGGCATGGCGATTGCGCAGTACCTTGGGCTTCTCTGGAGGGTTTAGGGTTTAGGGTTTAGGGTTTAGGGTTTAGGGTTTAGGGTTTAGGGTTTGAGGCGTATTGAAACCTAAACTTGAACCTCAAGAGCCGAAGCCCCCAACTTGAACCCCAAAAGCCCTGGACCATAAACATCGAAGGCAAACCCTCCAAACCCTCCAAACCCTCCAAACCCTCCAAACCCTCTAAACCCTCCCAACCCTCCGAGCCCTTGTTGGGCTCCACGTGTAGTTCAACGCTTGTGTGCGATGGCACGTCCTGCAGGAAGCATGGGCTCACATACCGTAAGTTCGGAGTGCTTAAATCGCGTCCCCTGCGATGCAGCCAGACTGTTCCATGTATGTCCAGGTGGCAAATTCTCAAAAACATTAGGGCCTTACGTAGCAAGAGGCACTCAATATCAGGAAATCGGCAGCCCCAACTCAAGGGCTTTACACCGCTTCAACCCCGACAGCCCTGCACGCTCAACCCCTGAAGATCCGATGTAGCATGTCACGCAGGAGCTTTTGGGCTTGCAGGTTCGAATGAGTATTTTGTGCCGCGGGGGTTCAAGTCTGTGCGATAAAGGTGAAACAGGAACGATGTGTAAAGTCGCGAGACTTTCCTTCTAGACGTGCTCTCAAACACCTCAAGAATGTGCTGCAATGAAGATTCAAACGGCAATAAAGGCATTGTTTCATTCGTGATTCGTAGTATCAGCAAGGTTAGAAGAACGAGGGTAAATTCTCATAAGATCTCGTCACGCAACAGAGAAGCGCAAGAGTTTTTTTTCGGAAGAACCACATTGTTCTTTCGCGCTCCGAGTGGGCTGAA